GTTAACAAACTCAGAGTTTTCACTTAACCTCCTTTCTGAAACAGGCCCCTGATCCTCCACGAGTCTGACATAGGGGAAAAATTGCAAATCTTCTTTTAGAAAACAAGCTCGTATGAGCGATGCAAACAGCAACTTTTAAACAGAGCATGCATGTTGAGAAATGGGAACGCGTTAAATAGGCGTTATCTCTTGGGAGCTGGTACAGGGTTTTACATGTGCATATTTTTTTCAAGTGGAGAGGGATGTTCTTTTCAAAAAATTGAAAAAAATCCTCCAATGTACTAGCCAAGTAAACTAGCCCCATAAACTAGCCTCAATCAATGGACTGGTGGGCCAATCACAATGCAGAGATGTGTTTTGAATTTCTGGATGCAAAGCGGGCGGGGTTTTTGAGGGCGTGACGACAAAGCTGCGCGAAGCTGGAAAAAGCACAACAAGGAAGATGGCAGCAACTATTGAACAGTTCTCATTTGACTCAGCTTTCGAATCAGTTTTGGAAGGATTAAACTTTGGAAGGATTAGACTTGGGGTTTTTGTTTAAAGCAGGAAGAGGCTCTACGCTCATTCATTTTTAAGAAGGACGTATTCGCTGTTTTACTGACAGGCTGTTTGTTTACACTCGCCAACCAGCTTCCTACGACACAGTCAGTTTTGCTCATTGGTCAGAATGTTGGCCAATAGGCACAGACATTGGTTTGAAAAACAACGGGTTGTTCTCATCAACAATCTTAGGAGAATAAATAATGAGTTATCAGTATATACAGGAGAATTATTAGCAATATTATTAGCATTACAATGGATGGAGGAGGTGAGACCACCAAGATCAATTATATGTTCAGACTGGAGTTCAGCTTTAATCAGTGTACAAAAGCATAGTTTGGAAAGTAGATCAGACATTTTAATTGAAATACAGCAAGTTTTATATCAAGTTCAAATGATAGGTATTAGTATTATATATATTTGGGTCAGTGTGCGAAATACATGTCAATATTTGGGGGGGTCCCCATCTCCGGATTGTTGCGCAATACCGATCTAAATTTTCTCGTATGCAGTAGGCCTAAAACATTACAAAGTCCAAGTCAGCTTTAATGTCAATTCTTCAGATTCACCAGACATACAAGGACTCGAGAGGACGTTTGTTTCTCATTTGCCAGCAGTGAAACGGATAACGTGCACAGGCACAACAGATAAGATCAGTTCCTAATACTAAAATTTAAACATTCAATTTCACAATAAAATATAAAATGTGCAATAATATAAAATATGCAATACTTATGCTAGTGCAAAAAGGCAGATGGTAATGGCAGCAGAAAAATTATTATTATTACCAGTTATGTAAGATATAGAATTTGTAACAGTAACAGTGCAAAAGAACAGTAAATAAATATAGTATTAATAGTAGTGCAGGAGACAGTTTGTCTGGAGTGATTGGTGGATGAAGCTTTCTGTGAATCTGGTGGAGCGTGCAAGACCTGCTGTCTTCACGCAATCTGTTCCACGTTGCCCCTGTGCTGCTGAAAAGCACATGGCTAATTTGCATACGCAAGCAGGATTGGCTGGCTCGACTTTGCAAAAAACAGAGCATATTTGTAAATAAAGGTTTTAATTTTAATACTGGACATGTTGAGCTTAAAAACATTTTAGGGACCATTAACGACAAAAAAATATTTTATGTCCTGCCCTCACTCTTAGCTTAGCAGGTAGATAACCATAATTTCCAATAACCACACCAT